TATTGCAATTTTGCCAATCCTTTAGTCTTCTTTCTGCTCCTCAAACTAGTGTTTCTATAATGGGATATTTTATTACCCGAGGACTCTTAGGGCATAATTATTGCATCAAGAAGCACACTTTATAAAATTACATCCATGTACGGTAATAATCTAAAAGAGCCAATCTAAGATGACAGATGCTTTTGACTGAAAATTAGAAAGAATCTTATCTATGGATGCACAAAAGCTAGTGACTTGTTTACTATTCTCCTGCGCTTCTAAATCACATTGAAGTCTTCTAAAAGATTTCAAGAATAATTCACTGGCAAGAAGCAGAGAGTGAAGAGTAGGTGCTGAGACTGGGTGGTATATAGAGCCCTGAGGTAGGAGCTTTGTCCTGACGCAGCTCCATGGATCTGGGCCAGTCATTGACGTTTTATGGCTTCAGGCTTTTTTTCTCTTCTTAAATAAACATAACGAGACAATAAGATCTGAGTTTACCTGTGGTTCTACGTCTTCATCCCTCTGCAAATACGGGAAGCCTTCGTGCTTTTTATTTGTAGTGATTCTTAAGTAAACATATTAGACACTTGGAAAATAACAACACTTAGGTTTGGCTATTCTGCAGGTGAATGTTTCAAAGGGGATGCGCGGCCTCCATCTTGCAGGGTGTGGGGGGCAGAGAGACTCAACTCTCTATGCTAGCCCCATCACTGGTACCAGCTCGTGCTGCCCCCAGCTGCTTCTGTAACCTGACAAATCACTCCAATTCCCCATGCAACGGTATCTACTCGCTCTTCCTGCACTTGCACCGTAGGGAAGATTATAAATAAATCCTACATTCATATGACAGCACCATGCCCAGACCTGTGTATTTTCTGGGACTAATTGCTCAGGGAAGGCCAATACTATGGTGCAAGTCTCATTCCAGTCTACATGGTAATTATATGCTAATGCCTTTTGAAATGAATTCAGAAGCCCCCACACCAGCATCGCAGTAAAGGGTAAGGAAGCTGAGATTTAATCACATTGTCTTCTGGGGGCTTAATTTAAGATTTCTTTTATACATGAACTGGGCCATCGATCGACAGAACTCGCTGGCTGCTCCAGCACCGTTAACAATGCAGTCCCACAGCAACAAAACTGCTGGTCAGGGGAGTGTGGAAAATCAGTCACGGCCAGGCTCTCGTGAGGAAGCAGAGGAAGCAGAGCTTCTGACGTCAAAGAAGCCACCGTGCATGTTCGACCCAGCTCTTTTCTACGTCCTATAAGTTAGCCTCCCCTTAGGCCTGAAAGTAAGTCCAATCCGTGATGAATAAAAGGAGGCTCAGAGCAGAGGAAGAACGTAACAATAGCAACAAAGCAGTCCTGAGAAATAATAGGAATAAATGGTGGATCTGTAAAAACAATCAAGACACGGATAACTTGACCTCATAGAGAAGCCACAAAAATAAATGGAGTGTGGGTGGGTAAGCAAATATACAAGATTTGCTCCAGCCCAGAAATCTAGTAAGTATAATCTAAAAGCCCCCTATATAAGCCTCCCACACAATGCAGTGTCCTTCTACAACCTAACGCACTGCAATATCCAAAGAACGGCTATTTTAACATGGGCTTTCCTGGTACTCATCATTAAATCAATTTCCTATTCTTGGTTCAAAAGGACACTGGATTTGATATCACGCGATACACAAATTCCTCACATATCAGAGAGGAATGATTAAAATTTTTTCTCAGCTATAAAAAGAAACAAGGGAAATGTTTCCCACACAAATTTTTTCCAAATTTGCCAAAACTTTGGAAAAAGCCAAAAGTCACATGAGAAGATGGGTTATAACTGCTTAAGAATCCAGTCCGTGCATTTTTCCGTTCTCTCAGTTTTCAAGATGCGACATGGAGCTATTGAGGAAGATGAAGGCTTCCCTTTGGGACTCACTTTAAGAGACAAGTGTAGTCATATAAACAACCTATAAAAACCCCAAACACACAAATCCAGATGAAAATATTATTTTACAAATAATATCAGCTGAAATGTATTACTTTGTGCCAGATACCATGGCAAAATTTGACCCATTTTCTCTCACTAGTTCCCAGAACACTTTCTAAAGTTAATGCTATACAATTACTAGACTGTAAGCTCTATGGGAACAGGTACCATGGATTTTGTTCACCAAAGTAAAATCAGCACCTTGTTTATACACTGCTTCCTACGTGACAGATGCATAGCAAGATAGTTGCTGAATAAGTAATTTTCATTACTTACGGCAACTGAGGGTTAGAGAAGATAAGTAACTAGCTAAAGATATGGAAGGTGAGAATGTATGCTGCAACATATATTTATCAATCTTTTTTTTTTTTTAGACAAGAGAATCAATAGGGAGTGGAGGAGGATCAACTTCTTGCCATGTTTGATCTTCTTGCTCTTTCCATCTCTGCAAGAAGATAAAGTTGCTGAATAGCAACAAAAGAGTCAGATTTGGAAAGTAAAAAAAAAACAGAGTAGGTGGGTGGCAAGATGTTAATATCCTTTTTCAGACAAGAGAGCTCTTCCAGCCTCTCACCTAGAAAACAGAGACCTAAATTTTCTGTCTAGGAGGGACGAAATGTGATCTAATCAACAGTCAACTATGTGCAGGGCACTGTGTTAATTAAGCCCCTTCTGAAATGCAGCTAATGACTGAAAGAACTGGGATAAGTTAAAGCAGCTCTTCCAAGTTCAGTGCTTGCTGCCCTGTACCCAGTGAGACTTCTGTGTATGGACTGTAACACATCCTCATTGCTCTGCAGCCCCCGCTCATTTGTTACCCACATCTAACACAATGTCAGGCAGAGAAATAAAATACCAGTGCTCCTGTTGGTCTAGATCTCACGTGCCATTATTCCATCTTGAGTCTTAGTAAGATAGAGAGAATAGAACTAGAATCTTCATGGTCTAAATTATAGCCTTTGGAACATTTTCATATACCGCACAATATAGGAAATCCATGTCTAGGTCCATATAACACAACACAGTAACTTCATACACATGATTTCCTAAAGACTAGAGCATCATAAATCAGATTCTCATGGATCTAAACAAATGGGGTTCGGCTGATGTACCACGGGGAACATGGTACACTTCAGTGGTTAGAGCATGAATCTTTAAGGCCCGCAAGCCTGGGTTCTTGCCAAAACTTAGTAACTTAGTTCTGTAATATTAGACAAGTGACTGATGCAGTTTTCTTTTCCATAAAATGGGGATAGTACGAGTACTTACCAGATAGGTCTCTTAAGAATACTGAATACAAACGTGGGAGCACGTAGGTAAAGTACCAGTTAAGCTCAGTAAATTAGTTTTCACTTTCACCTCGATGACCACCGCCATCACTTTAGTCTCATCACTGAAGAAGTCTCCAAGCATCAACCAAAGGAAATAAACTTGAAGTGATGAATTGTATTGGTTAATACGTACTGCTCCTTTGAGTTTTATGTATTTAATGATTATGCTGGTCACTGCTACTACCCAAGGTGGGTCCCTTTCATGATGCTGTATTACAAAAGAACAAGGAAGGTAATTCCAGAAGTGACTTCTTTGTGGAAATGGCTTTAAGATGGGGAGAAGGGCGCCTGGGTGGCTCAGTCGGTTAAGCATCTGCCTTCGGCTCAGGTCATGGTCCCAGGGTCCTGGGATTGGGCCCCGCATCGGGCTCCTTGCTCCTCCCTTTCCCACTCCCCCTGCTTGTGTTCCCTCTCTCACTTCACTGTGTCTCTCTCTGTCAAATAAAAATCTTTAAAAAAAAATTAAATAAAAAAGATGGGGAGAAACTACTGAGGCTTGGGAGAGAGGCATGATGCTAACGGTCTCGCAGTTGTGTCTGACCAGTTTGGGCTGTATTTATTATTAAGCAAATCAGATTATGGGAGACTGTGAATTCTATTCTGAGTCAAAGTCAGACAAGGAAATCATAAAATGCAAAATCAGAAACCCTCATTTTAAGTGGGCAGTCTGATACTCAATGCGCCTGTGATTTCTGGACCTTCATATGTCCAAGTGTTAGCACGTTTTATCCAAGAGGCTGCAGAGTGCTCCGGTTCACAAAAGCTAAGAAGCTGAACTGCCGGATACTGAATCCCAGCACCACTGTTTACTTCGCGATCCCACCAGTAAAAGAGGTGGCTGTACCCAACGCTGAGTACGCATCAGCTGCCGCGGCTGTGCTTCAGATTATTGTATTCTGCACTGTGCAGTACAATAACCTTTCCGTGTCTGTTTCCTTCCTCTATGCTGTGAGCTCTCTGAAAGAAGGGACTGGATGTATTCATCTTTCTTTCCGTGTCCAGTCCCAAGAGACACTCTAACGTTAGCTGAATGATGGACTCAAACAGCAAATAAACATCAAAGTGAGATCAACTCGGAACAGAAACCCTGACTTTAAGTTGAGGAAAGAAAGAATAAATAAGATTACTGATGACATCATCTAGCGAGTAATTAGCAAAGGACCAGCATCCCCTTAGCCTCTCTTACCTCTATCCTGTTCCTAAATAAGGAATCAATGTGGTCTTCACCCACATCACCAACTGCACAGATAGTAACCAAGCCTTATCACCCAGTTCACAAAGTTCTGTCGGTTCTAACACCTTCCCAAAAACTAAACAACAACAACAAAAACAAATGCCATATTTATGGTTTATTCTAAAGCTAAAGACAATTTTGATAAATACTAATAGTAGATTAGTACACAATTTAGTTTTAAACATTTTGGAATTTATGTTAAAAACAAATCCTATTCTTTTTAATAGGGTTTCATTAGATTTTAACTTAAGGATCCCTGAATTATTTTGCAAGATTAGGTCTTACTCAAGTAGCAAATAACGTTTGCAAGCGACAATATGATTTCTGTTCTTCCTTTGGAAAATGATTTTGAATAGTTGAAGAAGATATAATGTGTAACATTCTTCACCATCACCTCACTTTCCTGCGTACTATTCCCTTTCACCCCTTCACCTGACCAAAAGAGAAATTAAAAATCTATGTCCCTCACCTCCAACAGTTCATCTCCAATACGCATTCGCCCATCCGTGGCAGCAGGTCCTTCTGGGTTAATTCCCACCACAAATATGCTCAAGCGCGACCGGTCTTTATTACCAGCAAGGCTGAGTCCAAGTCCATTCTTATCCTTTTCAAGCTCAATAATGTGCAATTCTCCAGGTAGGTCTGCATATCTTTGCCTGATTTTTTCTATTGAAAAAAAGGGGGGGGTAAAAAAAATTTAAATAGAGCACTTAAATCCACATTACAAAGGCATCAGCATGTCCCCATTCTTACCATGATGGTCCTTTTTTTGAGAATGAAGTAGTTGAAGTCATTCATAGCCTTATGTATAGGTAGGTTACAGTTAATTATTCCATCTCCGCTTAAAAAGTTTAGTTTACCAATAAAACCTTCTCTGATTGTTCAGGTTCACATTGGCCCAGACTTTCTGTGCATTATTTTCTTACCTAAGACAGTCAACACAAAGTGGGAGAAACCCTGGCTTCCCTATCCCCTTCAAAAACAGAGGGGGGTGGGTGGGAAACAAAGAATATATACTGAGCATCAGCTGTGTGCCAAGAGAGTGTTTGGTCCTGGAGATGTCATGCTGAACAAAACAGGCATGGTCCCTATTCTCATGGACTTGCATTCCAGTAGGAAAAAAAAAAAATCAACAATTCTAAATAATTATATTTCTTTAAACTATACAAATGGTATAGAAGAATATTTTACGTTAAGTGAGTAAAACAAGGGGAATTAAGGATATTGGTTTAACTGTCAGATCTGAATTCAATACACAAATCAACCATTTACTCAATGTCCAATAATTAATACATTATTTTATTCTTTGGAATGCCATTTCTTCCTGTGTAAAATGGGCATGGTAACACCCACTTCATGGATGTTGAGAAAATGAAGTCAAAGTACACGTTAAAGGACTTAATAGCTAGCTCATGGCTTACAGGTATTCTATAAATCTTTTATTCAATCTTTTGTCTCTGCTTGCTACCTCTACTCTTTGGTCTAAATTATCTATTTTAGGATTTGGCTGGTTGTGCTTCACTTGTGTGGATTATGTGCACAAAATCACACTGGTAGATCAGTGCAGGGAATGATACTACTTTAATCATGTCTTGTCCCCCACAAAGCACTAGCTTAGGCCAGGTGTGTTTCTGGGGCTCAAAGCCTGACACCTTCCACTATGGTATGATGCAATCATCTTATCAGTTGAATAACCAGTTGGTAGATTTTGACTATCCTGGAACTCTACACTCAGGCTAATCCTTGACTTAGGTCCACTATCCTTATAGGGAACCCTGAAAATTCAAAGCTGAACTCAAATAATTAGTGTTAAGGGGGATGGGGAGGAAAACCACCTAGCCATCGCATCACTTTACCAGACCTAACAAATACTGCCTTAGGAGAGTAGGTACATTTTAAAATCATAAAAATACTTTAAAAGAATTAACCATATAAATGGCTGCTTATTTTAGAAAGAATAAATCTGTTTGCTTTACAATGATTTTGAAAAGAATCTTACTTTCATGGGTAAAGCTTATTATTAATAATAAAGAACACATTTAGCAAAGTACAGTAAGATACAGGTCTTGCAATGTAACAAAACTGCCTTCTATATAGGAAAAAAATAAAGTCATATTAACACTGAAGTAAATAAGCTCAAAGTGCTTTTTTTGGTCAACTACCAAGAACAAGACACTATGTGGGTATTTTAACAAATAAAGACTTATAAGACACACATTACAAGATGCTTACATAGCAACATAAGGGAAACAAACAAATACAATAAATATTAGACAACTACCATTACTTAAATAGAAGTTCCAATCACTATAGGGACTGGTCACTGAATAAATACTAAATTAATTGTATGAGCCGTAACTGCTTTTACAGTTTTAAGAACTGTTACTTCTAGAAGAGATTTCATAGAAGCAGCAGAATTTGCAAAGGTTTCAAACAAGGTATAGAACTTACTTATGAGAAGAATCCTATAGGTGGACTAGCAAGTGGAGAAGCATATACGGTGGTAGAATGAGGAGAAGAATGTGAGCACCCACTTGGCTGCCAATTGAAAATTCTTTGGGTTGGTGGGTGGGTGATAAGAAATCATAGTACAAGGTTTACAGAAATGCCAACTGGGGATTCTGCAGAAGTGCTCTGGGGTCCCCCAGAGAGGACATTCAGTGTAAGACTTCTTTTCCCAGATTCAACCAGACCACTGAACGCTTTCATCCACTTTGTTGGAGTTACAGGGTAAGAAAGTTAAGGAATGCCACTATGGCTAAGAAAACAAGCTAGAACAAAAATTTTAACACACCTCCCTCAGAAAATAATAAAACAGAGATTGTTTAAAAAAGATACTGAAGACTTTACCACCACCATAAGATCTCAAAGTAATAGATATAAGAGAACTCTGTATCAGACAGAAAATACACACATCTGCGGAAGCATGCACAGAACAATTACAGAAACAGACCATGTGTTGAGCCATAAAAGAATCTTCAACTACTCTTACAGAATCAGTATCATACAGGCTATGTCTTTGGACACAGTGCAATGAAACTATGAAAAACTATGAATTAACGACAAAAAATAACTTTAAAATTCCACGGTGTCTAGAAATACATTAATGTTAGTGAAAAGCCCAAGGTTTAAAAGGGAAATAATAAGGGAAATTAAGAAATACAGTACTAACAACTGAATAAAAATGATACTTAGATGTCAAACTTGAGGGATTCAACTAAAGCAGAACTTAGAAGGCTATTTACAATTTGGAATAATTTTTTCAGAAAACAAGAAAAAAGTTAAACAATAATAAGCATTATACCCAGGAGGTTAGAAAAAGAGCTACCTAGCAAATGCAAAGAAAAAAGAGAAAATAGTAAAATAAGGGCAAGTATTAATGAAAATAGAACCATCACCATCAATCAAAACCAAATAATCCACAGAACAAAAACACTACAATAAGGATCAATGAAGTTAATACCTAGTTATTTGAAAACATTAACAAGACAGACACTGCAAAAACTGATCAGGGAAAAAAACAGATGAGAGAAATAAATTCGTGAACTAGAAAAGGGGAAATAACCACAGACCTATAAAATAAGATTGTAAATAGCGTATTGATATGAAATGCTGGCACACCTTAAAATCTAGAGGACAGATAAATTTCTCAAAATTTAAAATGCCTTATTTAGTGTAAGAATAAATGTAAAACTGCAATAGACTAGTAAGTATTAAAGAAACTGAAATGGGGACGCCTGGGTGGCTCAGTTGTTAAGTGTCTGCCTTCGGCTCAGGTCATGGTCCCAGGGTCCTGGGATCGAGGCCTGCATCTGGCTCCCTGCTCTGCAGGAAGCCTGCTTCTCCCTCTTCTACTCCCCCTGCTTGTGTTCCCTCTCTCGCCGTGTCTCTGTCAAATAAATAAATAAAATCTTAAAAAACAAAACAACAACAAAAAATGAAATGATAGTCAAGGATAGTGCCTTTAAAAGAAGTAACAAACCCCCCACAGTTCTAGATATTTTTATATTTGAATTCTATCAGATTTCAAGTGTTAATGAATTTTATCCATGTAAGCTGTTCCAGAACATGGGGGGTGGGGGGGTATCCACTTCATATTTTGAGGCTGGTATAATCCTGATTCTCTTTCCAAAAATAGAGACAAATCAAGAAAAGAAAATTACAGTCTTATTTAACGTAGGGTCATAGATGTAAAATTATTTTTTAAATAATTTAATTGAGAGCATATTGAAAATGTTAACTTGATCTCTATGATATAGCCAGTATTTCACCATTTCTGACATAAGAAACAGCAATTTTATATGATTCAACCTAAGAATGTATTATGGACAAGGGCACATTCCAGGAATGCAAGGATAGTTAAATATCAGGAATTTTTTCAAGGAAATTATCACATTGATAAATTAAAGCAGAAAAGCTGGAAAATTATGCTAATAGATAGAGAAAAGCATTTGAGAAGGTACAATATCTGTTTATGATTTTTTTTTTTTAAACCCCAAACTGTTGGCAAACTAGAATAGAAGGTACTTTCTGGACTTAAACTGACAAAGAGAAAATACAACAGGAAAAAATAATTGCATATTTAAAACAAACAGGGAATTAATATATAGAGAAGCAGAAAAAGGTTAGCAACCTCAATAGAAATCTGTTCAAAAGACACAAAACTCAAGTCTCACAGACATATGAAGAAATGCTCAAGTTCATTAGTAATTATGGAAATGCAAATTACAGTGAGATACCAGTTTTCACTATTAGACTGGAAAATATCTGAAAGCTATATCATTAAGCCTTAGTGGAGATATGAGGAAGATGCCATAGGAATCCTTGTGCCTCCTTCTGGAGAGCAGGCTGACACGACTTAAGCATACACATATTCTACAAACCAGCAATTCTGCTCTTGGAAACATCCTAACAAATTCTTACACAGGTCTTAAGGGGATGTTCCTGGAGACAGCAGGGGAGTGTGGAGGTAATATGGGTATCCGTCACTGGGAGAGAGGATAGATGAAATGTGGTGGGTGGACATCACAGTGTCCCATCAGCAGGCAGAAGCAATTAATTGGAGGTAGTGACAGAGATTTTCAAACAGGGAGGAAAACAACAGGTCAATACCATTTATGTAATACCATTTATACAAACTAAGATTACCAGCAAAAATGGGTTTATTTGGGAATAACAGAGAATTGCAATCAGGGATGAGCAAGTAATGGCAAAAACCATAGGAATGGCATATCCCAGAATCAGAGACTTTTTAATTCAGGGAAAGCAAACTAAGAAACTATATAAAGTTATATTCTCTTATAGCAAACCCCCACCATCACCCTCAGATTCCGTTTTATAAATGAAAAAGACTGAAGAAATGAAGATCTTGTATAAGGTTATGAAGCTAATTGATAGCTAGAAACTAAAGTCTTCTAACATAAATTCTTTCTCTACCAAATCATGTTCAATTTCTCCAATAACATTTTAATTGTTTAAAAAGATTTTATTTACTTATTAGAGAGAAAGCGAGCACACGAGAGAGCATGAGCAGGGGGAGAGGCAGAGGCAGAGGGAGAAGCAGACTCCCCGCTGAGCAGGGAGCCCAAGCCAGGGCTCGATCCCAGGACCCCCAGATCATGACCTGAGCCGAAGACAGACGCCCAACCAACGGAACCACTCAGGTG